ACCTAGGGAAACCTGTGGGAGGGTGGCCGACCACTTTTGGTCTCTCTAGACACCTGCCAACCACTTTTGGTTGTTGAAAAACCAGAAAAGTAGTCGGCCAGCTAGTTTTTTGGCTGGCCGACCAGCTGTTGCTGCTGAACTGCAATTTACTGCAACAGAGAGCAAGAAAGGGCATGGCAATGTATTTGCAAGATATGTGTGCACAACTATCCTCCCTATCATGTCATGAACTCAAGGGGGTGTGGTTCTCGACCCTCGGGCCACCAATCGCGCATTTCAATGCATGATGGCCAAGAGGCGAAGTTGCACAATTCACAATTCAATGTAAAATGAATGCACAAGTAAACACATAAGACCTAAAACTCTATCATGTATGATCAAGAGCGTCGGGGACCGGGAATTAAGACATGTTTCATCACTTCAAGTATGAAACATCCCTTTTTTCCCGTGTTTGGGCTAACACCTATTCCAAACACAATGCAACACATAACATGGCATACACAATGCTACTACATGGCATACACAATGCAAGGAACATGCATGCAACAACATGCAATACAACATGATCAAACTACCAATGCAAATGGCATGCAAACAATGCTAGCACATGGATGCACAATGCAATGCTACAAGGGCAACTTAGCAATGTTAGGGACATGCATACTCAATGCAGGGAACAACTTGGCATACGCAATGCAAATAACCACATGGCATGCACAATGCAATGAAAGATGGCACACCTAATGCAATGAAACAATATGGCATACTCAATGCAATATACATGGCATAATCAATGGATAATGGACTTAAACCAACAGGGGTAGACCTCAGTCATGCCCAAATTAGTGATCATTGGTGATGAAATTAAGGCACAAAAGGCAAGGTATGCATATACAATGCAATGGCCTATCAGAGAGGCCTAAGAGCACAACTCTCAAGATTGCTCAAAGAGTGACAAATGTGCAAGTGTGACAACACTAAGTGCACTGAAATGAGGTAAGAAATGGTGCCAAATCATTCAAACAAAGCAAGTAAAGCATGCAATGGTCCTAAAGCATGAAAGCTAACAAGGAGGATTACTCTAGGGACATGAAACACATGGCACAAATGCATGAACTAACCACGGACAGACCTTCGGGAAGAGAAAACAGAACCTGGTTCACAAATCGAGGCAAAGCACAAACGAGTCCCGAAGTTCGGAGGCAAGGCTCTCAGCCGAAACTCCGAAACCTCAGAATGAACACAACATGCACCATCACTGAGCGCTCAATTGATGACGTGTGAGTCTTAAGGTCGGTCAAAAATGGGGTGTCTACACATACCAATTGGCTCACCAATTAAGGCACTAAGGTGCAACTCTCGAGAACACTTAAAGAGTGAAAAATATGGAAGTGTAGCAACACTAAGTGCACTGAAATGAGGTAACAAATGGTGCCAAATCATTCAAACAAAGCAAGTAAAGCATGCAATGGTCCTAAAGCATGAAAGCTAACAAGGAGGATTACTCTAGGGACATGCAATACATGGCACAAATGCATGAACTAACCACGGACAAAGCTTAATTAGGTCAAAACAAGGACCTAAACATGCTGAAATGAGGGCTCAAATACCTAGGCATGCAAGCATACAAGCTAAGCCATAAACTAGGCAACAAATGCACAACCCTTAGAGGCACTCAAAGGGTGAATGAAGTAAGAACATAGAAAGTCTATATGCTCTGAAATGTCATGTTAAGTAATGCCAAATCATGTACACAACACAAATGAAGCATGCAATGGTGCTCAAAGCTTGAAGCAAGCAAGGGCACTTGTACTACAACTATACAAAACATGAAGCATGTGACCAAGGCCACCCAAAATAGTCCTAGAACATGTTAAAATGAGTCTAAAACATGCATGGAAGAAAGCCAAAACAAGCTATCATGAAGGGCATAAGACATGATGCATACAAGGCAAATAAGTTGGATTACACTACATCTACTAAGACCAAGCATGGGATGACTTAAGCAACAAAAATCAGAGTTATATCATGGCATAATAACCCCAAAAACACATTGCAATGATAGCTCGCAAGCTTAGGCATGAAGGCATACACAATGGTTCATGTTAAGGCATAAATGGGCAAACCCTCCAACGCATTGAATGTGTGACAAATGTGCATGTATGGCCATGAAACATGGACTGAAATCACATATAAAATGATGCCAAATCATTCAAATAGGCCAAGTAATACATGCTAGTGGACTCAATACACAAAGCTAACAAGCTAGATTGAACCAAGGCTATACAAAGCAAGTCATGTATGACCAAAACAACACAAATCAAACCTTAAACATGCTAAAACATGAACAAAGTCTTCTCAGAGCTAAGCCAAAAGTATGCTAAAATGACATGTTACAACATGATGCATGTTAGGCTATTTCATGGAATTGTACTACAAGTGCATGGAGCATGCAAAGGCTAACCAAACCAAACCCTAACAGAGGTATGACATGGTAAAACAACACCAAATACATGCTGAAATGGACTCAAACCAAGCTATAATGACATGCTACTTCATGAAGCATACAAAGCTAATTTAAGACATTTACACTATAAGTGTATTAACCATGCATGGAGTGACCAAACCAAGCAAAAATAGTGGTATGCCTCAGCAAAATAACCACAAATACAAGCTAAGATATGGCCAACATAAGCTTAACAAAGGTGCTCAAAGGCATATGAAGCAAGTAAACACAATACAAGGAGAGGGGATGACCCTCTCTCATTTAGGACACCAAAACCACCCAGTGGTAGAAAGGTCATGCAAAGGCTTCAACAAGAGCCTAAAGGGATGACTCAAAATAAGGCCTAACAAGGCCTAAGATGGGGTAAATCACCCGAAACGAAAAAGTGACCTTAAACAACTATTTTAATCATGAAAAAATAGAACTTTTTCTAGTTAAGAGTTAAGCTTAAAAACATATGAAAGAAGGGTTAAAAGCTTAAGCAAGAAAGGGGAATTTAAAGGTCAAATGCTCACCCTTGAAGATCTCATTTACAACTGCAACTCCAGCAAGTTCTTTGAGCTTAAACCAGTCCAAAAACACCAAAAACAACCCCTTAGCACCTCAGCAACCAAAGGAAGGTGTTTGAGTGTGTGTTTGTGTGTTAAACTAAGACAAAACAACACTTTTGAAGCACAAAAATGAAGCAATAAGGAAATATAGATACAAGACTATATGTATCACTCAAAGGTGATTTTTCTGGCCCTAAAGAATGGAGGAGGAGCCTCCCTCTTAGAGAAACTAAAAGGCAAAGCTTCTTGGAGAAGCTAAGCCTCAAACAAATCCCTCCATACACAAATGCCCTCCAGCTAGCACAGCTGGAGGAAAATATCTCCAAAAAGGTGCCAAAAAGCAGCCGACCACTTCAAATGGTCTTCCAAGACACAAACCGGTTGGCCATGGTGGGAGAGAGTCCAGGGCATGAAAGAAAGCTAGTGGTGTGGTGGCCGACCAGAAAATGTGGCCCAATGACCAAGCAAGCCAGTTATCCGACCAGAAAACTTGCTGGCAGAAGGAAAAATGGTCTCCAAGGAGAAAAAGTGTCTCCCACCCTTGTACCACCTTCCAAACAAGGAAAACAAGGTTTGTACCAAAAACAAACCAAAACGGATGCAAGACAAGAAATCGGGAGGCAAAACGCGCGGCCGAAAGCCTCGAAAACTAGTCTACGGGCATCAAAAGTGGCATGCAACCACAAAAGTGGTCTCCCGAACCACAGTGTTCCTCTAGGCAGAGACAACAAGGTGTGGTTCAAAAACCCCACCAAACAGAGAACGTTAAGCGGTCCCGAGACAAGGCACGCGACCGAAGGCTCCGAAAACTGAAAACTGAAAACTAGTCTCCAAATGGGAAAAGTGGTCTATGACCACAAAGAGATGGTCTACAAGACCTCTCCCTCCCTCTGGGGAAGAGAAACAAAGTTCGGTCCATAAACCGAACCGAAGCACAAAAGAATTCAGAGGCCCGGAGGCAAGGCCCTCAGCCAAAACTCCGAAACCTCTAAATGAGCACAACATGCACCATCACCGAGCGCTCAATCGATGACGTTTGAGACTTAAGATCAGTAAAAAATGGGGTGTCTACAGATGTTCGTCTTCGGTACCACCTTGTTTTCGAACAGGTGGAACACCGTGGGATTTTATCTGTTGAGCGCCCTAGTAACCCTTATTGGGGTACGTTTCTATAATTGGGGTGAAGCTGGCCTCACTACCTTGTACGGATATATGAACTCTACCTCCCACCTAAGGGGAGAGCTGATTGGAGGCTACTGGCGAGCCTGGGAGGTATGCATTTCAGTTCCCTCTTTGCACTTTACATTTTTTGCTTCACATTTTCTGCTTTATATCTGTTCAACCCCTGTGCTTTATGCTTTGCACTTTCTGCATCTATTCATACTCTGTGCTTTCTGTTTTGCACTTTCTGCATCTATTCATGCTGTATTGATCACATATTACTGCACTTTCCTTGTAGCTGTGGGTATTTCCCAGCTCTTGCCTTAAAGCCCATGGAGGAGCTCCCCCTAGCAGTTCCTTACTCGAGGCAGTATGATGGCAAATACCAGCGCAGGAGCCGCGAGTCGATCACATTCTTCTGGCATTATTTCGACACAGTGGCTGCCCACGAGGTAACCCAAAACATAGTCATTTTTGTTTTACCACTGTTCTGATTCATATTTTAGCAACTGACAGCAACTAACAATCTGTACACTTTTTGTTTGCAGATCATGTGGCAGTCCTGGGCCATGATGCCGACTGGGATACAGGACTGGTACGCCGAGGCCTGGGCCACTTCTCGCTTCCACATTCTACTTGAGGGTCCAGTCTACCAGACCTGGTTCCTCAGTGAGCGGTTCGTCTATCAGACCGTGGGCTTACCAGACTCGATCGTTCCGATGCCACTACCAAAGTCTATGAGATCAACAGACAGCCTATCTGTTGATGCAGTTACATAGTTTATGGTGGGCCTGGATACTGATTCATTTAGAGTAGAGGGCGACTACACGACCTTCATTCAGACTCATCTCATTCCACATCTGACAGGTGCTCATGGAGGCGAAAGGGCGAGGGCTCTTGCAGCTAGAGAGATGCATAGGGAAACAAAGGTGACCAGGGCCCGTGCTAGAGGGCTCCCTCTGTAGGGCAAAGCACTGGCTGGCCAGAGCTTCCTACCACGCTCACGTACTGGCGGTGTACTGGGGTGGCTTACTAGGTTTCAATTAAGCCTGCAGCGGCTGGTCACGAGCTAGTCGGAGTTCGGGGCGCATCCTAGGCATGGACTGCACTTTACCATTTGCATTTTTCATTTCATTTCAGATATGTTCATTCCAAACATTGGTCATCCAAATGCATTTGCAAGCATCCATAGAGTACACAGGGAGCACTCTCGAGCTGATAGCCACCTTGATGCGCATGGTACAGAGGAGGGAGACGCTGCTCGGTCTCTACGGCATCCTGGTAATTTTTTCAGTTTGCGCTTCATGCTATCAAATTTCTACTGATACATTGGCATTTCAACCGTAATCTTTCCCAAACTGCATCTAATACACTACATCTGATACACTGCACACATACAATGTATTCGCACATTGTATCTAATTTCTACATACCACTTATTTTGCATACTATACCTGCATCTGATACACATACTGTAACTGATATGTTGACACCTATTCTTTTCAGATTCCACCTATACTGATGGCTCCGGCAGCGACAGCAGCGCCAGCACCGGTAGTACCCCCTCCAGCAGCAGGGAGGAGAGAGAGAGAGATAGAGGCACTCGAGGCCGGACTAGTCCTCCAGAGCCCATTTTGAGCGATGACAATGCTGAGACAAGTGACTCCGGGGAGGCAGTGAGTCGGCATTCTAAGTCATCCGAGAGCAGAGACGATGGTGCTAGCTCGAGTTTTGAGAGTGGAGATGTTGCCGAGGAGGGTTCTGGGGCAGAGAGCGGAGACGATGCCGACTCTAGTTCTGGCTCAGAGACTGACTCAAACAGCGACGTTGATGGAGATAGTGCCCCAAAGTCCTCTCCTCCGAGGAAGAGGATGAAAAGGGCCTCTCAGGATTGAGGCTACTGGCGCTGATTTTTGATTTTTTGCTTAATTTCTTTTTGTTGGTAGCATTAGCAGATGTATAGCTTCAGATGGGTTTATTTTGCATTAAAACTTGTACTCCTCATTTGTAAAAAACCATGACCGGAATAAAACCTCGTAATGTTTATAAAAAGTGTTGTCATTTTTGCATCACGAACACCAAATTTGCATTAAAAAAAAAAAGGATATGAGATTGCATTGGCTAACAAAAACTGAACGCTTGTATTGGCACAACGTTCTTAATTGGGTAATGAGCCGACCAACAAACAAAATATAAAATGCAAAACACAATTCGATAAGCAAAACAACTCGATAAACAAAGCAAAAACAACTCGATACAAATAAACAAAACTGCTAAAACCAAAAGGACTCAAGACAAGACCTTAAAACACACAAAGACCCAAAACAAAACGCATGCTCTCCACACTACTCCGCACACAAGTGGTCAGCAGATCAGAAAAGGGTTGCCGACCAAAGAGGGAGCTTGTCGGCCATAGAGGATGGCCTGCCAGCCATTTGTGTATCTTGCCGGCCATCAATGTGGCCTGCCAGCCACCTACCAGCCATCTGCCAACCATCGAAGGTGAGAATCACCAGATTGCCGACAACTGGCTTCCACCTAAAGCTTTATCTTCTACAAAAGGTCCAGCTTCGTGAATTCTTCTCCAGTACTTCATTTCAGTTGTAATTTCTTCACAAATGGAACCATTTTTCGCTGAAAAGCTCTCAGATTGGATTGCGACTTTAGATGACTCGAAAAAGGTAAATTTTTGGGATTTTGGCATAAACACACTTTTTTCGCTGAGCCGTACTCCACTTTGTATTTCGTTTCTCCATGTCGCAGCACGATGCTAAAACCCGATTACACATGTCTTTAGCTTCGGGGGAAAAGAAATATGCCCGACAATTGAAGAATTTCAGGCACTAATGGAATCCTGGCGCAATGAGGAAATCATGCATCAACCTTATTTTGGCCACGTCCAAGCTTTGGGACGGATGCGTGGGTTCACTCTTCACGAGGCTCGATCTTTGGTTCACAATGGAGAGCTAGACATTCCCAGTTTGATCCATCACTTTTCCGATGTAGGTAACAAAGGCGACCTTTTCTGGCGAGGTTTTCAGCAACATGCCCTCTGCCTATGTATACTTGCTCATTTCCTTCTTGTCTCTAGTTTCAGCGGATCAAGCATTCGATTGATTAAAGTGGCTCAAGGTTTGAAAGAAGGAAAGAGTTGCATTGGTTTGGTGCTGGCCGAGACTTTGATGGGCTTAGACGCCTTTCATTGGCGAGAAACTACCAGATTTACGGGGAGCCCACTACTTCTTCAGGCATTGTTTCCCACTCCTTTCTCATATGTGTTTCTCACATCGCTCGGCACTCATGCTCTGTTTTTCTCTCAAAGCCCTTTTTCTCACTTTTCTCTCAACATATGTCTCTCTATTCTTTAATCTCTCTTTTTTTCATCCCTCCTCAAGTGTGGCTTATGGATAAACTGAAGGTAGTGGACTCTTGCCCTGAGTACTCAACTAGAGGCTATTTCTTCTGGCACCAACTAGTGGATTTCCTGAACGAGGGATAGTGGTGCCACTGGATGTGCAATAGGTCTGTTGCTGACATAGCTTGGCATTGCCCCTGGCTTAACCTGACCGAGATGAGCTACATCCTGGTTCGACAGCCTAGCATATAGTTGATCGGCCTCACACACTATGCATTCTACTTTCCCTCCCGGTTCAGACATCAATTCGGGCATGATCAGACTCGCCCAGAGGAGGGGGTAGAATACCCGATTTCATTCCCCATCCGTGGTTCACACTTGGCTAGGTACCTCACTGCTTAGAGGACAAGAGAGCTTTTGGCCCCTGTCCCTAGTTTTAGTTGTGCCCTTTCTGGTGAGTGTTTGGCTTGGCTCGAGGATGAGGCACAAACCGGGCCCACTTTGGCTTCAAAAGCTTCTACAAGCACGAGCAAGGGACGGAGGAGCACCTAACTCATCTATGTCCCTAGTTTATTGCTTTGACCTTTCTTTTTAAGTTTTTTGAATGTAATAAAAACAACTTTGATTTGTATCAGAGAGTTGGAGAACTTTAAGTTGAAATTAAAGTTGTGAGCACTGAAAATTTTTCTTTTGACCCAAAAAATGGTCTAGTTTATAAAAGGCAGAATGTGAAAAAAATCAACTTTTATTAAAACTTTTCAAAACTATTTTCGAAAAGGATCACTACTTGACACACATGAAATCAATCCTCAAGATGTAGAACCCCGAATCAAAAGATCACAAATTGCCCCTTGATTGAACACCACTACTCAGCATTGTAACCGGCTCTTCTCTCAGAGTGAAGATCACAACCAAACCCTCAGATGAAGAACATACAAAGATGACTTGATCAGACACGTGGACAGGGCAGTTGAGTTGGAGGTGTATACGGCTGAGCTTCAAGATGAAGTTGCCTACGTATCCCAAATATGGGAATCAGGCCTTACGTAGTTCGGTTCAGGTTCCCTTGAGTATTTACTCTCTCCTTTTGTGCTCTAGCTTTTGCTAAAGTTGCCCTTTAGGGTTTTCAACCTTGCGGGCTCAGTTTTTCTTTATTTTTAATTTTTCATACTCTAACTTTTGCCTAGATCGCCCTTTCAGGTTTTCGGCCTAGCGAGCCTCTCAGGGATAGCGTTTCTTCAACTTGTCTATGTTGATCGGTTGCAAAAATTCTAGGCCATTCAAGTCCATAAGAATAATAGCTCCACCCGACTAGATAGTTTTGATGATGTAAGTACCAGTCCAATTGAGTCTGAACTTGCCCCTACCGTCATGGATGGGAGCTCAGTTGTCTTTCAGCACCATATCTCCCTCTCTGAGATTTCGAGACTTAACCTTGTTGTTAAAAGCCTTAGCAATTCTGCGTTGATAGCCCTGAACATGATATAATGCTTTCAGCCTTCTCTCATCAAACAACATCAGCTCTTCAAATCTGCTTTGTTGCCAGTCCGCCTCTGTTATCTGACACTCAGCCATAACTCGTAGCGACGGGACTTCTATTTCAATTAGCAGAACAGCTTCCATCCCATAGACGAGAGAATAAAGAGTTTCCCCTGTAGATGTCTAGATGCAAATGGCAATTTGTCTGGCCAGTCCCTGTAAGTCTCAACCATCTTCTGCAAAATATTCTTGATGTTCTTGTTGGCAGCTTCAACGGCTCCGTTGGTTTGTGGCCTATATGTAAATGACTTATGAAAAGCCACATTGTATTTCTCCAACAAGTCTATCACCTCTTTCTTGAAGTGGGAGCCATTATCCGATATGATCTCATTTGGGACTCCATATCAACAAATGATATTGTTCCGAATGAACTTGGCCACATGTGATGCTTTCAGCACTGCGTAGGACTCAGCTTCTATCCACTTTGTAAAGTAATCAATTGCCACCAATATGTATTCATGCCCATTCGACCTTTTTGGTGCGACTGCACCGATGACGTCGATTCACCAAACTAAGAAAGGCCACGGTGAAGTCATGTTGTACAGTTTTGACGGCGGGATATTCATGCGATTAGCATGAATTTGGCATTTGTGGCGTCGCCGAACAAAACCAATACAATCCTCCTCCATAGTGGACTAGTAGTAACCTTGCCTAAGAATCTTCCGGGCTAACATCACTCCGTTCATGTCCGCTCCACACTCTCCTCCATGGATGGCCCCCATCAGGCGCTTTGATTCTTCTTCTTCGACACATAACTTGTGCATTCCCAGATGACCTCTTTTGTACAGTTTACCTCCGCAGATGATAAATTGGATGGCTATTCACCGTATTTCCCTTTTGTCCTTGGCATTTGCCCCAGGTGGATAAATCTCCTTTTCCAAGAAGTTCCAAATATCGTAGTACCAAGGGTTTCTATCTTGCGTTTCATCTATTACGGCGATAGTTTCATAGGTCGGCGTGTATCTTTGCTCAATGATGATCAAATGCATCTGGACTTCAAATGGGATGTCTACCATGGATGATAGAGTTGCTAAAGCATCAGCGAACCTGTTGTTCTCTCTCAGTAGATGCATGAAAGTCAGCTTTTCAAACCTACAAATCAGAACATCCAGGGTCTGGTGATAAGCCTTCATCTTTTCTTCTTTGACCTTCCAGTCTCCATTTGCTTGAGAAACAACTAAGTTCGAGTCTCCAATAACATCCAACCTTTTTGCCCCTAGTTCCAGGGCGACTTCTAACCAACGATACATGCCTCATACTCTGCTTCGTTATTGGACACCTTGAACCGAAGTTTGAAGGCTAAAGGTATATGGGAATTGTCGGGTGCTATCAGCAACACACCTATCCCATTATCGTATTGATTAGACACTCCGTCAAAGTACATTGTCCAAGTCTCTTCCTCGACTTGTAGAATGGCTTCATCTGGGAACAAGTACTCCACCGCTCCATCCCCTTCTACTGGGTGATCTGCTAGGAACTTCACTACAACTCTCCCCTTGACCGACTTGTGGGTGACATACTTGAGATCAAATCCAAAGAGAAGAAGTAAACAACGGGCCAGCCTACCTGTAAGCACTGGTTTCTCAAAGAGATATTTGATGGGATCTAATCTCGAAGCCAAAATTACAGAGTGAGCTAACAAGTAGCCCCTCAACTTCCTGGTAGCCCATACCAAGTCTAAGCAAGCTTTCTCCAAGGGAGTGTAGCGGGTCTCATAATCCAGCATTTTCTTGCTCAAGTAGTAGATGGCTTTCTCCACCCTATCCTTAGATTCCTGAGCAAGCATGCATCCTATAGTTGTGTCTATTACTGACAGGTACAGAATCAAAGGCTTTCCCGGCTTTGGCAGCAACAACACAGACAAATTCTGAAAGTACTGCTTAATCTGCTCAAAAGTGAATTGACATCGATCATCCCATCGGAATTTCTTTCCTTTCTTTAGGAGACCAAAAAGTGGTTCACAAGTCAAGGTTAATTTGGAAATAAACCATCTTATGAATT